GATTGTAAGGAAAATCCATTCATCAATATATCATACGACCCTTGATTTTCAAGGCGCCGGAGCACCATCCTTGTTGTTCGTTCACTCACCCCATATATCACACGACCGTCGCTTCCTGAGCAGCGCGCCGGAGCACCGCCCAAAACCCACCACCAACACCATCACTCAACGGCCTTGTAGTTCAGGCCGTGAACCTAACAGCCGAGACCAGTTCCTCTCTCGGCTACAATCGTTTGATTATGAAGACAGTTCAAACAGGCGCACCACTTATCCATCCAACACTCATCAACACATCGACGCACGGTAGACCGTGCTGGCACGCCTGCGCACAACCGCACCGCACCCAAAAGCAGGAAACCGCGTGTTAACGCACATCCCCTCGGCCCGGAACTCCAGGCCGTGAGATTTGCGCGGTAGACAAAATGTAACCAACATTTATTGGAAAAAGCAACCCTAAAGATTTGGGACCAAAAGCGATTAGTGGTGACCATTGAATAAGTTTCTTCAGCTTGAGTTGGGTTAAAAGCACGGAATGTATTTGCACCATCACCATCTTCAAATAAAGTATTTTCTATAGTAGCACCATGAATAGCACATAACAGAGCAGCGCCCAACACCCCAGCAACTCCCATCATATGAAATGGGTTCAATGTCCAATTATGAAACCCTTGGAAAAAGAGGATGAATCGAAATATAGCTGCTACACCAAAACTGGGCGCAAAAAACCAACCAAACTGACCTAGCGGATAAATTAGGAATACATAAACAAAAACAACAATTCGACTAGAGAATGCGATTGCATTATAAGGTCGCAATTGAATAGATCGAGCAAGTTCAAATTGACGTAACATAAAACCTATTAGTCCGAAAGCGCCATGTAGAGCAACAAAAGTCCATAGACCGCCTAATTGACACCAACGAGTAAAGTCTCCTTGTGCTTTAGGACCCCATAGTAACAATAAAGAGTGTGCTAAACTATTAGCCGGAGTGGAAACTGCGACGGTTAAAAAGTTACAGCCTTCCAAATAGGAACTTGCTAATTCATGGGTATACCATGAAGTTACAAAGGTTGTACCTGTGGACCAACCCCCTAAAGCGAAATAGGCACAAGGAAAGAGAAATAGGCCAGACCAACCTACAAAAACAAAACGGTCCCTCCGTAACCAGTCATCCATAATATCAAATAAATCATTTTCGACTTTGGTAAATTTACCAAGGGCTATAGTCATAGTGCTCCTCCTATTCAACTACTTCAACCATTTTCGAACACCTCATAGCATTTTCCGAACGTTCGAGGCTTTTATCATTTATGTATTATTTGATTTCTCGTATATTGCCTCTTCTTTTGAATGGGTTTCGAATAGAAAAATAATTTATTGGTCTATAACCCAACCTAGTTTAATCCATGAACTCAATTCGGTTATCCCTTCCTATTCTTAATAACTGCCCGAACCATGAATTGTTTTATGATCCATCAATCAGATAGATGAATTTTAGAATTGTTCAAGAAACAAGTGATCCCTTTTCTCGATACCGATAGATCCTAGACATATTCCTCTCGTTCCATCAACTAATCTTAGTCTTGAATCCCGTTGAAGGGGGGAGATTGATAAATATTTTTATGTATTCTTCTAATACCATATATTTTATTACTTTATATTTTACTCTTTTATTTTATTAATATATTGTATTAAATAAAATAAATAATAGGAGACTAGAAATGAAAGTATCCTTCTCGCATCCATTCTCCATCACATTGTCGGAACAAAAATATCGTATGTATTAATATGGATGGAAATATTTAGTACCTAAAATAGTTATTTGCTAGATATATAAATAGATAGATAAGATATAACTAATAAAATAAATAAAATAAAAATTGATCTTGTGTTCTGGAATTGGAATCAAAGAAAGATATTTAAAACGGCGTGACTTGTAATAAATGTTTCTCTGTAAAGGAGGGGAATAGTAATTTATTAATTCCTAAGTTATTCCTTAACTCTAACTCTTACATAATTAGTTGGTTTTAAGGGCATATTTCTAACATTAAACAGGTGGTGAAGTTGGGGACAATATTGATATTGCTAGTGTTGGGTCAAGGGTCTGTCCCTCTGAAATCTTAACACTATGTAGAAAAAGAGAGTTTTGAATCTTTGAGCACATGCTCCAATCAAAGATTTAACTTGTTGTCCAAGTAAAGCCTTTGGAGTAAAGGAATCTGGCGGAGATTGCTTGGCAGGTTGTGGTCTAGGATATAACCCTCAGCTACTCTTTCCTTGGTATATAACTAGTGTACTTGTTTGTTGCCTTGCCCTGCATATATACACATTAGACTCAGTTGTTGTCTTTGCATAACTGAGAAACAGATAACAATGCATTATTTGGGAAGTGAATTTCATGCAACTGATATGTAGAACTGGAGGGCAAGCATTATTTGTGATGATTGCTTGAAGGAAAGTTATTCATCTCCAATGCATATGACGTAAATTTTCATCTCTTAAAAACCATGAAATAGCTAGATTGAAAAAAAATAAAGAAATCTTACGGCCCGTTTAGTATCCTATTTGGATATAATTTTATAAACTCAAAAACAGATTTTAAGTCCAAAACCCCAAAAACCCGTTTGGTAGGCCCATTTTTAAAAACTCAAACCCCAAAAAAAACTCAAAAACACCCCAATTATTGAAAACAAAAAAAGTGAGATTTTACAGTTTTTTTTTCACTCTATTCTCTCTCTCTCTCTCTCTCTCTCTCTCTCTCTCTGTGTACTCCCTCTCATGTCTCTCTCATGTCTCTCTCTCCTTCCTTAACCATCGACCGAGTCATCAACGGTGGGGGAGGCTCCATCGAACTTATCCCCAGATTGGATCGACGAGATCGAGACCATTTTGATGTAAGACGACGATGTCAACGACCCAGATCTCGTCATCGGCGACAGCGGCTTCGGCCCAGATCTCGTCGGCGACAGCGTCCTCTACAACCCTTTTGTTTTTTTTTTTGTTAAACCCGAGTTCATGATTTTTCACTGTTGGGATTCGTTGGTTCATCAGATAAAGAGAGGTCCTGGCTTCTTTTATTCTTTTCCCTTTTTTCAATTAAAAATAATAATTAATTGGAACAAGTTTCAAGATCTTAAAAATAGGTTTGAAGTTAAATACCAAACAAGTTTTCAGGTCTTAAAATTTGTATTTGAAAACTCATGTTTTAAAGAATCATGGTTTTTAAGTTTACTTTTTTGAGTAGGATACCAAACAAGCCCTTAATAATTAGACCCTAAATCTTAATCATCACTGTAGATAAAGCTATATTTCAGACCGAAAAAGATATAGCTGGATTACAAAATAACAGCTAAGTTCTTATTCCAATAGTCAAGGCTGATTTTCGACCACCAAAAAAACAAAAAAAAGAGTCAAAGCTGATATGGAGAGCAATTAATACGCCTAACTCTTAAGCTCAAATTCTTAGACAGACTGTGAAATGATTTTTCTGTTTACTAAATTTGTCTCCTAACCATGTTTAATACCCTGTCTGATTTGTCAAAATCACAATCTGTAACGTCCTCATAAAAAGAGTTCATTCTGTTGGAATATTGCTTCATTGTTCGGTTGAGCTCTTCCGCATCTTGTTCGTACAGTATGCGGACTCCGCACTTCTTCACGAATGTCTCCTCTCTTACACCATATGGTGTTCCGACACAAAACTGGATCGGACCTCCGCACTTCTCCATCCAATAGTTCTCATGTGTCATGCTTGATCCCAAAAAAGAAAATTTAGACAGAACGAGCAACCAAAGGTGATCTGACGCTAAATTGTGTACTGAAATGCCAATCATCGGGCCCAAAAAGGTGTTGCTTAAACCATGAAGAGCATAATATTTTGAATGCTGTTTTAAATAAGTTGGTTCAAATAGAGCACAAAAAGCAAACCCCATCCACTTGCTATTAAATTCCGAAGGTAGCGTCTCAATTACTGAGTTTCCCAAACTTTGATTACTGAACCAGTCAGGAATTTCACTTCCAGGAATTATGATATTGAAATACCCCCGAGAACGAGGGATTTCCTGCACCAAAGGAAGAATATAAATAGTATTACATAACTAAAGGAGGGAAGGAGGGAAGGAGGGAGAGAGGGAGAAGGCAAAATACCTGAAGGGATTTCTTCAGCATTAAATATATTATGGAATTGGAACCTTGATGCTCAACCAAACTGATGCAATTGACAGACTTAATCGAAATTACACCGTTGCACATCGGTGCATATGGGAGAATTTTTAAGGAAGTACAATTCTCCGTGTTTACAGCTAGAACAATTCGTCTGTTTGATGGAAGGCTTGGCAATTTTTGAAGCCTTTTGCAATTCTTCAATGTGATACTGATAAGCTTAGAAAGCCCACTGATGCTTGCAGGAAGGCTAACAAAATGGTTTCCATCAAGATTTAATGTCATTAAAGAGGACAATAAACCAATATCTTCAGGTATTGCTCCTTCACAAAGATTGCAGTCCTTCAGATTTAGAAACTTCAAAAAGCGTAAATCTTTTAAGGAAGCTAACACCAGACTCACAGGGTGAGGACTGTTTCTTGGAAATAAGCCAAAAGTGAAGAACGAATGCCATGATCTAGGTGGTTTGATATTTTTCACTGGAACCAGGGCGGATGGCGCATCTCTCATAGAAATTCCACTCATATCAATCTCCTTCAAACTCGGGATCAAAGGTATAATTGATGAAGGAATTTGCTCAACAGCAGTGAAGCTTAAAGAAAGCTTCGAAAAATTCTTCATTTCTCCCAGAAATTCTGGAATATTTTTCACTTTTGAGCACCCAGAAAGATCAAATGTTTCAAGAGATTCCAGTTCTACTTCACTTGGGAGACTCTTAATGCTTTTACAGTTTTTAAAATTCAAAACTCTTAGTCTTTTGAGAGAGGCAATGGATGGATGAATCTTAACAATATTAGTACAACCTTTAAAAACCAGCCTCTCAAGATTCTGAGTACCTGTGAAATCTGGGGTCCTTATCAAGTTCTCCGAGTAACTAAGATCAATAGATTTCAACTTGACCATGTACTGTACAAAACATGAAAATGGTAGATTAATTAACTTCCAAGAACCGTACAATTTATTGAGATTGAAAAGAAATAGCTCTACAAAGGTCTTACCTTTATTCCATTCCAAAGGTGATCAATTTTGCTATGCTGCAGGCGAAGTTCAGCAAGTTCAACAGGTTGAAAACTTGGTGGCAGACATTTGGAGGGATACCAACTCCACTCCAGAAACCTTACGGAATTGGGAAGATACTTTGGGCCCAAAGAAAGGCTCAAATTATTAATCTTGAGCAACTTGAGTTTACACATCTTAGTGAATGCTTCAGGATTCCAGTGTGCCACTTCAAATTCACACAAGCATAGGACTATGCTTTCAATGGCTGCCGTTCCCTTGAAAATAGGAATAAAAGAAAAGTTAATGTCATAATCAAGTCTCTCTTATCATGTTTAATGGAATTATAGTATGTTATCCAAGGCTTTGGTATTTTATTTTTTGCACAACTTCTTACCGTATTGTTCGTGAGTACATGAACGATGTCACTGTGAAGCCACAAGCGACTGCGACCACCTGGCTCGTCAAAAGACTCTTGGCGAACAATCTCCCATGCCATTTCTTGTATCAAATCATGAATGGACAGACACGTGTTTGAAACAGACAAGAGAGATTTCTCAATAAGAACATGTATCACAATACGAGTGCCAACAAAACCACAACTGTCTAGTATTTCAATCACTTCTTCCTTGTCAGCAAACTTATGGAAACATGCAACATCAAGAAAAATTTTCTTCTGCATCTCCTCTAGTCCATCATAGCTTATTTTCAACGTTTGAAAAATTTTTCTGTCAGGAGCTTGCTTCAGTTTATCTAGTGCACTCTTCCATTCATCTCGACTTCTTTTATACAAAAAAGACCCCAAAGTTTTAAGAGCTAATGGAAGACCTCCTGCATAGTTTATGAAATTTTTAGACATTTCTAGATAATCTTCTTCAAGGTCATCTTTTTTAAAGGCCTTCCTACTAAAGAGATAAAGAGCTTCATCTTGGGTTAATGGCATGACCTTATATACCTTCTCTATCCCATGTTCGACTAACAAACGTTCATCTCTAGTTGTAATAATGATTCTACTTCCCAAACCAAAGCAGTCTTTTTCCCTGATCAACATTTCCAGTTGGTCTGATTGATCTACATCATCAAGAATGAGAAGAACCTTTTTATTACATAGGCACCTTTTTATCATAGTAAATCCACTGTAAGCATCATAAACTTGTATATTTTTTTCCCTCAAGATATTGGAAAGAAGCTGTTTCTGTAAAGGAACTAGACCATGTGTTGCACAAACCTCTCTGACATTTGCAAGAAAGCTGCTACCTTCAAAATTATGAGACATTCTCTCATAAACTAACCTAGCTAGGGTTGTCTTACCCATTCCCCCCATCCCCCATATTCCCACAAAGCGCACATCATTTGCGTTTGTATCTAAATGCAGATCTATTTCCTTTAGTTTAAAATTAAGTCCGACCAATATCTCTGAGGAATCTAACAATGAAAATGTAGGGTGCACTTTATCCCACAATGCATCAACAATTTTTGTGATAAGCTCTGTATCATACCTGGAAGTAGAAGGAAAAAAAAAAATTCATCAGATGAGGTTATATGAATATGTCACAAATAAAGTGCATGGCAAAACTAAACGTGATATCAAGAATTGGTCTTATTAGCTGGGTCAGTTGTTGTTGCTTCATGCTTACCCATAATCCTTTGAATTCCACCCAGCCAGATTAGCAACTTTTTTTAAAGCATTTCTCCACCCAAGCACCTCCTCTACGTCTTCCCCACAATTCATTTCATGGTTAATGAGGGCTGCCCCAAAACTCCCCCGTTGATGGCGTACATCAGAGGGATCCACATCATAAAAAATTGGGAAAATTCTCTCCTTTTCTTTCATGGACTGAACAATATGGGTTAGTTCACGCAAACACCAACTTGATGAAGCATAGTTTGTTGAAAGAACTATGATTGCAAACCTTGATTTTTCAATCGCAGTCAGAAGCTCTGGATTGATATCTGTCCCTCTTTCAAGATCTGGATCATCCCTGAAAGTTCTAATTCCTCGCCAGTCCAACTGTTTGTATAAATAGTCAGTAAAACCCCTGCGAGTGTCTTCACCCCTGAAACTCAAAAATACTTGGTATTTCCATGGACAAACTGCAGTAGCTGAAGTGAAGGCCCTTTGGCTGCTCAATGCCATTGGAAAGTGGTTCCAAGAAATCTTCTCTCAGCACCGGATTGCAAAACTAAAATGATTAGAAAGATGGTAGTTCAATGGCACCAATTGAAATATGGAAAAGAAGAATCAACACAGAGAGAGGTTCCAGGAAGGGAAAGACAAAGGCTATAATGAAACTGAAAAACAAAATAATAGTGTAGAAAGGGACTTCAGCAATGTTTCGTCATGGTGTGTTGCAAGGAAACGATGCCTTTGTCATTAACAAATGCAAAAGAAGATGATAATTAGAGAAGAAGACACAGGAAGTAGTTGGAGTCGGAGAAAATGGTGCCATGACATTCTTTTGTTTATTTGAAAGGCTGATGACTTGATAAGTTTGATTAATTTTGTGTTAGTGTCGTTTAGCATATTGATTTAAAAAAAAATTAAATTTCCTTATTCACAACTCACCGTCCTTAAATAAATAATATGTTAAACTCAAGCAGGGGAGGTATACATCAGAGAAGACTTTAAGGGCACGTTTGTTTTTTATACTAGTGTTAATGAGGGCTGCCCCAAAACTCCCCCGTCAATTCATTTCTTTTTTATTTTATTTTTAGAATTAAGAAAAGATAACATGGGTAGTTATCTATATATATAAAACAAAAGGCAAAGAATGGTGAAACATTCAAAATACCATAAAAGGCTCTTGGTTAATGCAAACATTAAGAATTGAAATTATTAATTAAATGAGGATAATATGGTAAATTCACACTTTTTATATTAAAAAATTAAAATTAAAAGAAAAATCAGATAATGGATCCTATTTTTATGAAACACAACTACCCATTATCTTTTTTAATT